CTCAAGTCCCTGCCATTGGGGTCGTATTTCCAGTGCTTGTGTTTCCAGTGCAATTCTGACTTGAGCATTGAGTAGAGTTCTGGAATACGACCCTTAGTATCCTAAGTGTGGTTTATCAATGATGCATTTAACTATAGACACATTACCCATCAGCAGGAAAGAATAAAAGCTAATTGTATCATTTGACACTTTTTAAACGCCACATAGAAGTATGATTTGACCCGGTCATATTACGCATGGGTTATGATCGACCCGGGTTATCAAAAATGATCGACCGACACAGGTCTAATTTCTTTAAAATTATCTCTCTCGGGGCCTGGATTTTAAATTGCTCTAACCGCAAGTCTATTGGACAAAAATTCTATTAATATCGGCGGTATTACCGCAAGGGAACGAGGAGCAGACGACGGACAAACCTCTTCCATTGGTGCGCGGTTTCAGGTTCACACGAAGTGATCGGTTAAATTACCAACCCTGCATGGGTGCCTCAACAGTGCCACAAGTTCGCCAATATGGCTACCAGTTAACAGCTAAAAAAGAGCCACGCTACAATTAAAATAAAACGCAAATGTATAGCAAGTTACATGTAATTTAATATCAATATATATTTATTTACACTGTTCGACACGGTATTCTAAAGGTACACGAACAGACAAAGTAATGGTGTATTGACTATTACAGTACGAATCATAATTAGACGTCCAAAATGTAAACAAAAGAGTTAACAGAGCAAACAAAATAAATTTAAACTGGTGGTTTCCTATTATAGACGATAATAAATGTTTAGAACTTTAATAATCGGGATCGAAAACATTTTCTGTGCCGCCATTTTATCGTGGCATAAAGTCATTCAAATGTTTTCTTGTCTCCGTAGTGCATTTGTTGGATTATTGAGTGTTGTTGTTAGTTTCTGTTTATTAGTAATATTTTATAATAGATAATTAAAATTGTAGAAAATGAGAACGTCCTCCTTTTCAAATTTCGTTAAAAATAGAAGGTTTAGCACAGCTGCATTCACCCTGTGACTATGACATTTTTTTGTTTACATTTTGGGACATCTAAGATTCATAGTTATAGTAAGCAATAAAAACAGAATTTACAATCATGTAAATAATGTTTAATATCACGCAAAATTTAAAACAAAGTGAATAGGCATAAAGTCAGTGGCGGATTTAACCTAACAAGAAATAACTCAAAGTACCTAAATTGTACATAATAATATAAGAACATTCCTCCACCTATCCGTAACAACGTCACAAAAAGAACTTTCAAGCAGAAGCTGCAAGAGTATCTTTTAAATACGCAAAAACTGGAAATTTGAGTGGCTAAGGTGTTTGAGAAAAAATAAATAAATTCGATGAAATTAAATTGGATTGAATTGGTTAGAATTTGAATTGAATTAAATTGGTTTTGTTTTGGGTTGTGGGTTTTACGAGTGGCGTCTCTGTCCCTGGCAGAATACCAGCGCCGCGGGCAGCCTCGTCATTTATGATAAGTCAGCGCCTTTTCATTGCCATGGCTTCCAAGACAGATACTAGTAGAATATATTACTGTGTTACGTCTAAGTTAATGTCTGTATCATGTGTCTGTGTATGTATTTGTCATGGTGGTGAATAAATTAGTATTATGCAAATTTAGTACTAACATAGGTTGTAAGAATTTTTTTTGTAACTAACACTAATATGGACTATGTCTGAAATAAACTTTTTGAATTTTGAATTGAATTGAATAAAGATTTTATCTATCTATCTAAATATTCTAAAGGCTCACGCACATTATAGCGGGGCGCACTGCACCGCACCATATAACAATAATCTTCCCAAATCACTTTCGTACATTTCGACCCCTCCTACGTAAAGTATCGTATGTCGAAATTGCCAAGTTTACAGGGGAGCGTTTTAAAGTTCTGAATTCACTGAAAGAGTGATCACCATAGATCTTCTAACCGATATCTAGGATTTTATAATACTCTATGTGAGTAATGAATAACATAAAACTGCCGAATAAAACTGAGAAATGCTAAAGTCACGTGTTATGTTAGTTTCAGTGAATTCAGAACTTTAAAACGCTTCCCTGTAAGCTTGGCAATTTCGACATACGATACTTTACGTCGGAGGGGTCGATTTTATGTCTAAAATATAAATATGTTACATATCTATAATATAATGTATAATCACTATGTCTTATCTGTCTGGTCGCGATAAACTCAAACTACAGAACGGATCCTGGTATTGACTACATGGCCTGGGGCGTAGGGTAGCCAAGACTGCAAATCCGCCACTGCATAAAGTATAACTCACTAAGCCGAATTCGAATTTATGGTCATTCATTTTGAGTCCAAGTTTGCAAATTAGAACGCCCTGAAGCACACAATAAACTCTTCCACATAAAAAATAACTACTTAGTAATACTAAAATAGATTTCGAATTGGTCTCAAAATAGAGTATACCCTGTACTGTGAGTACCAGATTCCAGAAGCCGTGACAGCTTAATGGTCTACCTAACCTACCGCCTCTCAAGCAGAAGCCGTGGTTTCGAATCCGGGTTCGCACCTCTGAGTTTCTCCCAATTTATGTGCGAAATTAAATTTGAAATTTACTATAAGCTTTTCGGTGAAGGAAAACATTGTGATGGAACTTGCGCGTCGTAGAAGGTTCACGACCCTCGGAAAACTTGAGAAGTCCCCAGCCCGCATTGGGCCAGCATGTAGGACTATGGCTAATCCCTCGCCTGAGTGAAGAGCCGTGCGCAGCAGTGGAATGTATAAATAAGTTGATGATGAATACATTTATAGGTACAACTCTAGACTGAAAACTCATTGGAAGAACTGGTGGGAGAGAAAATTCTCAGTAGTTCTGTGAAGAAAACTGTCGTATTTACCAACGGAATAAATGGGAAGAAAAGTACCAGTAATTCTGTAAACAGAACTAGTGGGACAGATCATACTCAGTAGTTCTGTGAAAAAAACTGTCTATTTATCAACAACATAAATGGGAAGAAAAGTACCAGTAGTTCCGTCAACCGAACTGTACAACGAACTAGTGGGAGAGATAATTCTCAGTAGTTCTGTGAAGAAAACTGTCTTTGTTAACAGAACAAATGGAACAAAAGTACCAGTAGTTCTGTCAACAGATCTGTACAACAAAACAATGGGAATAATGGAATTAATGAGTGCCAGAGCAAAGAAAATTAGCTCCGAGGCACTTCCTGGAACACCCAGACCAATCAATTTCCCAATTGGTATTAACGGGAATCAAAATAAATTAATGTCATCCAATAATACACGAGTATTTTCTAACAATGTCTCTGTAGAAGGCGAAGATCAGCTCGCTGGCAAGACGACATTGTTCCAGCGCCTCGCGGTACGCCGCCTCGCTGAAACTGCCCTCGGTGAACACTGGAACATTAAATAGTTAACAAATTATTATTATAGAATCTAACTTTTGTCGCCCATCTCTGCCACCTCTGCTGAGGCCGGATGGCTCGCTAGCTCATACTGCGGAAGAGAAGGCGAATCTTTTTGCCTCACTCTTTGCAGAGAGTTCGCGTCTGGATGCCGCAGGGAACCTACCACCTACTTTACCTCAGACTGGCTGCACTATGGCGCCAGTTCGCATACGCCAAAAAGAGGTACTTAGAACTCTGCGAAATCTAGACGTGAATAAAGCTAAGCTAGGCCAGATGGAATTCCAGCGATAGTCCTGCGAAACTGTGCGCCTGAGTTATCTCCTGTTCTCACACGCCTGTACCGCCTCTCACTTGAGACTGGTGTAGGTCCCAGATCGTGGAAGCTTGCAAACGTGCAACCTGTGTCGAAAAAGGGAAGCAGAGCTGACCCTGTCAACTATATACCTATATCATGCAAGGCTATGGAACGCGTACTCAACAACCGTCTCCTGTCGTACCTTGAAGACAACGACCTCCTCAGTGATCGCCAGTACGGATTCCGACGAGGGCGATCTATTGGGGATCTTCTTGTGTATGTCTGTCACATACGGAGCGAGGGTATAGAAAAGCAAGGCGAAGCACTTGCAGTGTCTTTGGACATTTCTAAAGCCTTTGACAGGGTCTGGCACGCAAGCCTTTTAAGTAAGCTTCCCTCTTATGGGCTTCCCACTGACCTTTGTAATTGGATCTCGGATTTCTTGAGTGAACGTTCGATTCGAGTGGTCTTGGAAGGCTACACTTCCGAACATATGGCGATAGATCCGGAGGCCGGAGTTCCTCAGGGTTCCGTACTGTCTACAACTCTCTTTCTGCTGCATATCAATGATATGTTAATTCCAGGTACCTTTGCGTATGCTGATAACAGCACAGTTGTAGATAGGTACTTGACCACTGCAAGGGTCAGTGGAGAGGAAATTCAGTCTTGTCGAGAGTCCATGGTTAGCCGTTTGGATTTGACACTCCAGGCAGTCTCCGATTGGGACGATGCCAATCTTGTCAAATTTAACGCTACCAAAACTCAGGCGTGTCTATTCTCCACAAAACGGAGTGAGCTGACTCCGAGTTTTCGTGACATGTCCATACCGATAGCCGACCGCCTCCAGCTACTTGGAATGGACCTGTCGTCCAATTTGAACTTCGGCAGATACATTGAATCCATGGCCAAAAATGCAGCAAGGAAGCTTGGCATCCTTTCCAGTGTGAGGCGTTACTTTACACCGGGACAGTTGCTTCAGCTGTACCAAGCACAAGTCCGGTTGAGCATGGAGTACTGCTGCCACCTTTGGGATGGCTCTGCTATATATCAACTGGCCACTTTGAATTCAATTGACAATCGTGTCAAGAGGCTTATTGGTGACTCGGAATTAGTGGAGGCGAAGCTGCAAAGCCTTGAACACCGCCGTGAAGTTGCCTGCTTGTCGGTATTTTACAGGATATATCACTACATATATATATTAATTCCGCCTTCCCCTTTTCGTCACCGGGGGACTAGGCGTAGGCTTGGGTTCCACCCCTATGTTGTGGATATTCCAAAGATTCGCACGAAGCGTTACGCTTCCACGTTTACTCATATATGGCGTACGGCTATGGAGTAGAATTCCCTGCCTGCAGACTTGTACCCTGAACGTTATAACTTGGGCCTTTCAAGGCGTGAGTGAATAGGCATTTAGGTGTGCATGCTCCATCGTCGACCTCATCGTCACTTTCCATCAGGTGAGATGGAGGTCAAATGTGCACTTGTATTTTATAGAAAAAAAAAATTTAAGTTAATTGACTCTAACCACATCTCCTTATACCTATTGGGCAAAATAATGCTGCTTCTTAATTAAGTATATTTATATACTATATATAACCTCCTAAGATCCAGGAAACTACCATGGTAGTTTACTTTTTAGTTAGATTGGGTAGTTTACATTTTAATTACATTTTAGTTACAAACAATAAACTTCCCATAGGAAAAGCGCCACATGCCCAATGTGTTACTACATTAAAATACACTAGACTACGGTTTCTTTAGAATTAGAAAAACTGTAAACAAAGAAGCATTGATTGTAAACCTTTTTCATAAAAGTTCACAAGTCCCATACTTTTCCATATTTTTATAAGATCAACTGACGGGACGAACAAGTCAACAAGTCAAGTAAGTTACACACCTGTCCATAACAGTTGCAGTGCCACTTAGAGCTTTAATTCGCAAAGATCTGAGGGGCACTGCCACTGCGCTCGTCACCCTGAGACATAAGTTAACAAGTCCCATGTGCCTGTAATTTCACAAGCACCCTTACCCTTCAAAACCGGAACACAGTAATGCTGACATTACTGCTTGGCGGCAGAAATAGCTAAGGTGGCAGTAGCAATACCCCTAAGAAACTTGCGATTTAAAGCTCTGAATGACACTGCAACTGTTACGGATAGGCGTGTCGCTTACCACCGGGCGCACGACGAAAAAAGAATAAAAAATTACAAAATTCACAAAAAGCTCTACTGCCACAAAAAGGTCGGTCCATAGTAATGTGAAATTAAAAATGTTTCTTACCTGTAACAAGGCTTTTTTCTCGACTCTCAAAGACGAAGTTCATAACAGCTCTGGCCTTCTCTATCTCCTCATGACTGGGATCCAGGACGATATTACCACTGACGTCAATGGCGCACATGGTAGCGGCAAATACATGATGCATCGCGATGCCGGAGTTGAGGAGAGCCAGGCAGACGCTGTTCACGCAGCAGCAGAGTAGCTTAAGCACAAAGGTAGACAAAAATGAATACAGACTACTACTAAGATAACTATTCTTATACTGGATAATTTCCTTATTTCTTTTAATTCAGCCACAAGTAATCGAGATTAAGATGTCTATCCATAACAGTTGTGATGCCACTCAGAGCTTTAAATCATAAAGATCTTAGGGGCACTGCTACACTGAGACTGGACTTTTCAACTTATAGTCCCATGTGCCAGTAATTACACCAGCACCCTTACCTTTTGAAACCGGAACACAGTAATGGTAACATAACTGCTTGGCGGCAGAAATAGGTAAGGTGGCAGTACTTCCCTAGACGAACTCTTTCACAAGGAGCTTTTGGTGCGAATGTTCCGTTATGAGATTTTTAATTGTGAGAAATTTGAAAGGAAATAGTAATGTTAAACTTGTTGTGTTATTGTAATGCCGATTACGACATGTCAGTTAAAAGCAAACAATGAAATAAAGAAATACCAACTCCTCCATAGTCCTCAAGCTCCTGTACCGTAATGGTGATTCCTGAACGAGGATACAAGCTGCCTAGTACTGCAGTCTCACAAGTTTGTTTGATTACATTCTCTTTATACCTGAAATCGGTAATTATACAAAATTTTCAACTAACGGCGGCAGAGCTGAATCTCAAATAACATTTTGCACAAAAATTCCAAAAACTCGCCCAGATTTAAACCCCGAACTCTCTGCTTGAGGGGCAGTAGGCCAAACCATAGTGGCTACCATGGCTATATCATCTACAATTCTGTCCGTGTGTATTATCTATAGTTGTATTAGTAGTAACTTTTGTTAATTCTTATTTACCTATCTGCAACACAGGGTTTCCCACCTTTACTGCTAAATAACACCTCTAATGTAGATTTCTCAATACTTTGGCTCTGCATTTTGATGTCCAGAGGACCATTTACACATGCTAATGCCACTGTAGTTCCTGCAAATATAAAAAGGTAGACGATGAGGTCTCTCTTTGGCGAAGGCCAAAGTCATAGGTCAAAGATAGCCTGTGCCCAGCAGTGGGTGAACTGTGGCTGTAGATGATGATGATTACACCAACTACCTGGTCTTATCAACTACCTGGCATTCATCCGAAACAATTACTGTCAAATAGTTATACTAAACCAAATTAAAAAATGCATGATTGGAATGAAGCTACATAATTGACATCAGTGTTGCCAGATTAGGCAATTTTTCACCATTTAGGCTACTTCGAGAGGTTGCGCAGCAACTAAAAAAGTTATTGGCCTCTCGGTGATATTTAGGCTATGTTTTTGAAATAGGAAATGGTGATTTTAGGCTACTTAATAAAATGTCTGGGGAATTACAAATTTGATTGGGGATTGTGTGGGGAATGAAGTTGTAAAATTCTCATTTATTTGGGGGTTTGAATATTTCTATGTATGGGGAATTGGGGAAATAAGAGAGTTCATATTCCCCAATGTGTCCGGCAGCAAGCAGAATTGTAGAATTGTTTTCCTTGATTTTTAGGAATTTTATGGCTTGGGCGAATATCGTCTACTTAACGCACATAAATTGGCGAATTAACTTCGCAAAAGTCTGGCAACACTGCTTGACAATTACCTTTTAATTCGGTTTGGTCGACTATTATTTATTTGATGTGTATGTAGACCCCCTGGGTTAAAAAATTTACTTGGAGACTCAGCCCAGATACAATTAGGAACTTAAATTACAATTAGAAAAAAAGTGCGTTTCCTAAATTGGTCCTATCCTCCTCTAAGATCATATCAAACGTGTGAGAACCTCAACAGGCGCCCATAATGCAAACCGAGCTGGACATCAAAAAAAATTATGTCAATAAAATGTATAATTTTTAAAGCAAATTAAACTTTGTTTTATTTCTCTACATACCTACAATAAAGTCATTAAGACGAAATCTGGTCGAAGTTTAAAATTATTTAGAGGTAAAAATCAGTTCGAAATTGTCGTAAATCTTACCCTGTGATAGGATAGCAGATCCGTCCGATTTAGTAAGGTAATTTAACTCGCACTTCATGGGCTTCAGTTTAAAGTCCTTCATAGTAACGTCTTCAACACCCATTTTAGTGTAATTACCTCAAAACTGCGTATTTATTTGAATTTTTCGAAAAAGCGTGCACATGTACGATACCAAAGAAATCAAAACAAAAATGACAACAAGCGCTTTTTTTATATGCAATATGTGACAGTTTACTATACGAAACAGAGATGAAAGATAGCAAAATCACAGGCAGTGTTGCCAGATGGTTGCTTCCCATTTCTTACTTTTTACTACACAAGTATAACTTTTATCTCTCGCGCATTTCTGTTATTTGTACGAACACTGACATTTTTTTAAATTGAACTTTATATGTTAATAGCATACGGTGGATTTTCAATGAACGAATTCTGACAATATATTGCTATTTGTGCATTAGGTGGCGATGAACGCAAGCGTAATATCAAAATGGAATCTGATATTACGATGTAAAACATGATTTTACTTGTGCATAGATATCTATTTCGTAGATAGATTTTCATTCAAGTCTATATTATAACCATACAAACTAATGGCGCAATTACACTGGGCCATCTGCCAACCTACGACAGACTGCTTCGCCTGCCGAAAGCGATGCAGTCGACTCACCATATACACCAGTCGTCTGCCGCCTTCGGCGCCTACTACCGGCGACTACTTCGCCTTACCGAGACGACGCACCCACTCGCTTCGGCCGACTTCGTCTACATACTACCGTCGTCAGACGACTCACTATTTATACCTGGTAGCAGGCCACCTTCTGCGGACAAGTGTCGGCCGCCGATTTGGTGTTAATACGCCGTAATATTTTTCACATCACAGCGTTCACAATGCAATTTGAACTTGATACTTAACTTCAACGTCATCAGGTTATTACATTCCACTGCTGGATATTAACCAAAGGCTGCCAGCAGCCTTTGGTTACTTTGGTCTCAAGTAAACTGCGTGCCGCTTATAATACGAACGCTCTAAGAACAGTCCAGTCTCAAAAATAAAAAGCTCAGATCAAGTAAATCATAATTTTTCAGGGTAACCAACTGTGATTATGACACGACAAAAATTATGGAATTTTCTAGTTACAGTATTTGCAAGTTTTAGTTTATTTGAATTACGTTTTGACTTTCTTAATTGATCTCAGGCTATCGCGCTAAATTGATAGAGACATTGTTTTCTTCTACAATGTTACATAAAATGATACTGAATTAAGTACAGCGTTGGTCAAAATTTAATTATTCAAGCAATTAAAGGTTGACAATTAATTAATACAGCAATTCACAAATAATTAATTGTTAATCGCTGTTCTCGTCACTAACAATTAATCAATTGTTAATCGCGTATATCTTCAATTAACAATTAATCAATTGTCAATCTTTACAATATTTTTGATTAGCAATTAACTATTAAAACTGACCATTATGATAAATTTATAGGGTATATAAAACTATTGAAATAAATATGTATGTATTGTATGTACCAAGTAAAAGACTAATATCATCACTGTCTCCGTAGTCGAATATAGCATGGGCAATATAGTATTTGGAGGTGCTCTCGTAACGAATATGGCACTCATTTCTAAATCCAAGATGGCGAGCACAACTTTTCAAATAATGGCAAGTTGGGTATCGTTTTCAAGGTATTCGAAGGTGCTCATTACGAATATAGCATTTATCTCTAAATCCAAGATGGCTGACACGACTTTTCAAGTAAATACTATACGGGTACCTATCATTTTCGAGGTATTTGGTATATACCCAACTTGCCATTATTTGAAAAATCGTGCCCGCCATCTTGGATATAGAAATAAATGCTATTATCGTAATGAGCTGGGGGTGCTAATACCTCGAAAATGATACCCAACTTGCCATTATTTGAATATTTGAAACTTGGATTTAGAAATGAGTACCATATTCGTAATAACATTGTTATTCGGTAGTTTCGGTTTTAATTGTTTCGGACAATTAAAAAAAATTAGTTGCAATTGATTTAATTGTATATTTTTAATTCAATTGAATATCCGATTGAAATTTAATTGATTAACGCCTAACACTGCTAAAGTATTTAAACATAATTATTTTATATTTTAATGCTGTTTTCATGAATAAAAAAACATAGTAAAATGTTTTTAAGATGAAAATGGCATCTCAATGAACATAACATTTCAAAAGAATGTGGGTTACACCACGTTTGTTAAACATTTTGAGTCACACAAGCGCATAATTTTGAAACGTCACGTCAAGAAAGTGTCATCAACGGTACCATTTTCACAAAGTAGTTGTTCCACAAGTAGCAATGAGATAACAAACTTAGGGTCGTATTCTAGAACTCTACTCAACGCTCAAGTCAGGATTGCCCTGGCAACACAAGCACTGGAAATACGACCCTAATGGCAGGGACTTGAGTATGATTTCGAGTGCTGTAAACCATTATTTGTAGGGTCGTATTTCCAGTGCTTGTGTTTCGAGTGCAATCCTGACTTGAGCATTGAGTAGAGTTCTAGAATACGACCCTTACTGACAAGTTGTGACGCTGTTCTTGTCTTTCTCTTAGGAAATAAAGAGATGGAACCATTCCAGATGTGAATAGATACATTAGTCAAGGAGAAGTAGTCAAATAGTACCACTTCACTACGTGTTCATTGATTCATTTTCAATTTTCAATGTATTGTGAAATATTTAAAAATCGTGTTGTTGGTAAAAGAACTTGATATCTGTTTTGCGAAACCAATTGAATAAGTGAAACAGCCAAAATGAAGACGCGATTCAATACATACGATATAATGTGTATGGTGACGGAGTTGCAAAGGTATTATAAAATTATAATAATGCCTATTTTGATAACCTGGAAATACCAGAAATAGCAAAAAAAATGTGGTGTTGTAATTATTTTCACTGATGATCGAGAGTAACAAATACGTCCATCTTTTTCCTTATTTTTTTTTTCAATTTGATGATGCAGACAAAACAAGTATTTACTTACACCTTTTGTAATGTTGTCTGATTTAGGATATTTCAAGACGTACAATACCCGTGCCTGGCAGTATAACGTATTTATGTATGTAATCTGTTCAAACCATGCCATCAAGTATATAATCAGAAATAGAGACGAAATAAGGGCCATATATTCCTGGTAACACATTAGCAATACAGCTCTTATAAATATCAATTCTCGTTTGCACTGAAATATAGACAGGCCAACTACTGACCTGTGTGTATGTCTCCGTATATTCCAAAAAATATTCTGTATTTATTGTATTAAAGATAATATCTCTAACAATAACGTGCTGTTCTATTTGGTGGTGTAGGAAAAACAACAAAATATCTAATTACAAAACAAACAGAATCACATTTCATAGGTAATTAAATATTAAATATATAATTTTGCAATTTTCATCCATTATAGCAAAGCTCAAGTTAACTGGTAGATTTGAAGTGAAACAGTTGACGACACCCATTGACGAACTCGGGCTAGCCAATTAACGCACACACACTCGACATTATTTCAACAAATTAAATGACAATTCGTCTCTATTTCTGGTTATATACTCAATGACCTATGCATATATAGTATTTTTTTTCAAGCAGGCTAGAAAAAACTACATAATGCATAAAATAATGATAGAAAAGCCTATTACAACTTACACTGGCGCAGAGTCGAAGCGTCGCTCGCATTCGTGCGCCCGGATCACAGTGTGGTCGGCGTATAACGCCTCACTGCGCTCAAGTAACGCGCGTCGACAGCAGCTCAACTGCAACCAAGCATCGACTCCATATTTACATAACACAAATTTGTACCTTAATAGTTGGACAATAGAGATGAATATGCTATAGGCGAAATACATGACACGTCGCGACGCTTCGACTCTGCGCCAGTGTGAGTCGAGCCAATTGTCAATCATACAGTGAAGGAACATATTTTAGATAAACACATCATCTGTTTTATAATCATTTAATATTGTATGAAATTGTGGTGAAACATGTTTATATATGTGTATATTTATAATATAAATAATTTGTTGTCTTTAAAACCAGATCACCTGTATAATACTAGTTTAATTTTTTCTCTTCTTTATAATAAATGCATGCTGGGCCACAAATTCACCTGATATTAAATGACGAGACAGTTAATGGTACGTAAACTAATGTTGTAAAGCATTTGCAATTGTTACACATAGAAAATTAAATGACATTTTCAGGTCTAAAAAAAATATACGTAACATTTGTTTTTTCAAACAAACCAAAATTTCTGGTCCCATGCTTTCATATTTGTACATATGCATTGTTGACTTTTATATATTTTTAAACTTTTCAGTCTAATAGGCATGCGCGTGAACCAAGTGTATGACATTGACAACCGCACATACGTGATTCGACTGCAACGTTCAGAGGAGAAAAGTGTGTTGCTGCTGGAGTCTGGCAACCGGTTCCACACCACGCAATTTGAGTGGCCTAAGAATATGGCTCCTTCTGGATTTACTATGAAGGTTTGCCAAATAATAAAATTATGTGCAAAGTAGAAAAATAAAGTAGGTTATACATTAGATAGTTGACTATTAGGAAGTAGACCTGTATTAAAGATCTCTAAGCTTCCACCCATAATTAGTCCGTAAAAACCTAACACATTTTATTTGACAATTTTGTTTGTAAAATTCACAGCTAGCGTTTGTCCTATTGTAGTTCATGAATCTTGTGCTATTCCATCACACAATTCATACACCTTTCCTATAATCTTTTTGTTACATTTCCTCCGGCCTCTTCAATAAAACTCTCGTAATCCTCCTATTTATTGAAACTTATGATTTTAAGTGGACTGTATACGCTTTTATGAAACTATGATGACTCACAATCTTGAATCTTATTTGAACACTACCGGTAATCATGTAAGTCGAAGTAATGAACAAATAAGTTGGTAATGCATGCTAATCTTATTAGAATTAGAATCTTATATAAATGTTGATACGGTGTCTCCCACACCGTAACGGCCGTATTAAAGCGCCGCGGTCTCAACCAGCCAATCAGAGCCGTCGAATTATTCACTCGTATTCGTTCTGACCGGCCGGGGCGGTCTCGGCCGTCCGTAACACTTTCTCCGATTTAAAGCTATTTTAATTTATATTTATCATCTTCCCTAGTAAAACACGTGTGTAGGTGTAAAAATCATTTGTAATTAGATATTTGAAGCGTACATTTTCGAAACCCGCCAACTTCTCACGAAACCATTATTCAGTGGAACAATGAGTTTGCTGCTCTTTGTATAGGGTACTATACAGAGAACTATGTTTTATCGAAACTGTCAGACCGAAATTTATTTTTTAATGACAATTTAATCTAAGTGATACTCACCCATTTTAACCAACTTACGTAAATAAATCTCATTTACCCCTAATACCCCCTGTAACCCCTATGGATAGATCTATCGGTGTAAGACACAGCCTTGAACCGTGTCATCTCGCAGTGACAGACAAGAACCTCACGCAGGTGTTTTAGCCCCTTGCCACCATCAAATTTTTTTTTGTTTTTTTTTTGTCAAGCAATTGGTCTTATGTGAGGCCATAAGCAGTTATTTTTTTATGTTGGGTTGCCTCATCGACTATATATGCGGAAAACTATTCAGCTCAGTTGAATCCCAACTCTCACTCCTCACGGAAGAATAGCATAAGTGGAGTTACGTCAAACATGTTTATTGCTCCATTAGATACAGAAAAATATAACCCACATCCTCTCCAATTCTTGTAAATCTATGGACTAATATTGTATATAGAGTTATATTTTTCTGTATCTAATGGAGTAATAAACGCTTTAGACGTAACTCCACTTATGCCACACAATGGCTATTCTTTCTTTATAGGACTTAGCCTAGTTATTGCCTACAATTGCTCTTGAAAATGTCCTTGAAATGCCTACATTTCAAGATATTCGTCGATCTCATGTATTTTAGTGAGCCATGGAGTATTTGTAATAGAATTAAGAACAATGTTTCGGTATCGATGCGGAATCACAATGTTTGACTGACTAGCAGTTTCCCAAGGTCAATACCGTAGGTTCAAATTAGTCTCAGAACTGCCTTGTAGATATAATTATTAATACAAAGATCGAACACTCAGAAAAAAATCCTTCGATTCGGCCGGATTCGAACCGACGTCTTCTAGCATACCGTGCCAGACGCTATACTCACTAAGCCACGGAACGAACCAGCGGACCTCACGAATTTTTCTGTGCTTGAGTCGTATCTTTGTATTTGGTTTTTCAACGACTTTTTAACCGTAGCGCCATCTATGATACTTCGTCACCTAGTTTGATACCTTTACAGCTACCAGCCCTGGCTAGAGATGTCGGTATTCATTTGTATTATAATTTTTATTGAATTGGTATTCAATTATTTTTATGTGAAATTACTCCACTAGTTTGTTATAATCATTAATACAAATACCGAACACTAATAAAAAAATTTCTTCGATCCGGCCTGATGCCTTGTAGATAGTTAGTTTATTTTCTAGAGATACTCTAGACCTTAGGTTCCCAAACGTTTTGGCCGTCATAAGCAAGATTAAAAAATTTGTACGTCCACCAACACAAAAATAACTAAAAGCACGATTAAAAACAGTTTTATATTAACTTGACACAAAAAATCTCAAGGAAAAAATATGTAGTGTAGTTTGCACAGCCCAATTGCGTCTGAGGCCCCTACCACCCGGCTAGGACTCTTTAGCGCCCACTTTGGGAAACTATGCTCTAGACCTTGTACCCAGCGACCATCTAAATAATAAAACTGTATAATCATCTTGTATTCTAGCTCCGAAAACACTTGAAAAACAAGCGTCTAGAGAAGCTCTCTCAGCTGGGTATTGACAGAATCATAGATCTGCAATTCGGCAGCGGGGAGGCAGCATACCACGTCATATTGGAATTATATGACCGAGGCAACATTGTGCTGACTGACTGCAACTGGACCATTTTGAATGTTCTCAGACCGCATGTAGAGGGGGATAAAATAAGGTTAGTTATGACATAATTACAGTTAATAAAACTAATAAAGGTAATGACAAATTGTGAACGCTTGCTTTCTATGTAGGAGAGCGTGGGTTGATTATCACCGGGGCTTGTAATAGTAACGCTGAATGTTTTTTAATCATCGTGTAATGATGAAACAAAACAGCATGATGAAGCCTACAGAATATTCACATGAGCATGCAGGAAATCACAAAACTATATACATAGGGCGCACTATATGTTTTCGGAACTGGCCACTTACATAAACAATATTTAAAAAGTAATTACAACATTTGAAAATGGAACTCTTTGGCTGTAGAATACAGTTTGTTTCATCTGACTGTCACTTGTTTTTACATTGTAGAAATTGGTTGTTTACGTCACCATGGATTTAACTTGTGAAAATTTTCGTAGTATGGATTTTCTACGACTTCAAATGTAGTTTAACAGCTCAGCTGAGCTTCGCTCGGCTTCAAACTGCTTTTGGCGATGAAACACCATGCAAGACGACTATTTATAGCTGGTTTGCAGAATTCAAACGCGGTCGTGTGAATCTCAGTGACGAATTTCGTGATGGTCGCCCGTCCACTGCTGTGAACAACAAAAACATCGATACTGTGCGCCGTATGATAAAAACAGGCAGGCATGTGACATACCATGAGATTCAGGCATCTTTAGGCATAGGCATGAGCCAAATACAATCAATACTACACAAACATTTGGGTGTGAAAAGGCTGTGCTCTCGGTGGATCCCACACAATTTGACTGAGACTGAAAAAACGGAACGCGTCAGATTCAACGAAGAGGCGTCAAATTTGGTGAGGGACAAAATAACAGGTGACGAAACATGGATTTATAGTTAGGATCCCAAAACAAAGCAGCAATCGAGCGTATGGGAGTTTCGAGATGAGCCGGAACCAACCCAAGTGGCGAGCGTGCAAAGCTCTAAGCGGATGATTGCTTCTTTTTTTTAATAAAACTGGACACGTGGCTACTGTTGCTTTGGAGAATCGTTGTACCGTGAATAGTGATTGGTACACGACCATTCGTTTGCCGGAAATTATTGACCAACTCCGTAAAAATAACCGTAAACGCCGTATCATCTTGCACCGCGATAATACCAGTTCTCATACGGCCAGACAAATTTTGCCGATTGCAGCGTACACGTACGAAGTCCAAACTCTCGGATGAGACTTTTCGGCTAATGACTAAACGACGAGAAAACACTCGGGCCACTTCGTCAGAGCGGTCAGACCTTAACAAGAAGATTGCGAAGATGATACGGCGCGACCTTCGGAGCTACAGTACACGTCTCATTGAGAAGGCAATAGTACGAAACCGAGGGTCCAAAGTGTTCACTCAGCAGCTTGGAATGAGCGACCTGACGAATAACGTCGAAGCCGGAGATGCTCGTCGAGATAGAAAACTTCTATGGCCGGTTATACGGTGCACACGTTCGTCGTACCCTACACGACAACCACGATCCCAGAGCCGCCCTGATGCGCCACAATACCGACGGCCTACCAAATATCGGCCAAGACGAGATCATATTGGATCTAAAACAGCTCAAAAATGGAAAGCCCCTGGTGAAGACGGAGTTACTTCAGAACTTCTGAAGTCCGGAGGAGTTCCAGTCATCAAGGAACTACATAACCTGTTTAACTCCATCATTCAATGTGGGAGAACTCCTAAAACGTGGAATAGGAGTATTGTAGTTCTCTTTTTCAAGAAAGGAGACAAATATTTACTTAAAAACTACAGACCCATCTCACTCCTGATTCACGTATATAAGCTGTTTTCTAGAGTCATTACGAATCGTTTCAGCCACCGGAGCAGGCCGGGTTTCGACGGGGATACAGCACCGTAGACCACATACACACAGTAAGGCCGATTATACAGAAGTAAGAAGAGTACAATCGGCCCTTGCGTCTACCCTTTGTGGACTAAGAGAAGTCTTTTGATTCCGTCGAAACCTGGGCTGTCTTGGAATCCTTGCAGCAATGCCAAGTGGACTATCGTTACATCGAAGTGCTGAGATGTTAACGCCGCCATGTACAGGACCAGCAGTCTAAACCCATCCAATTACGCCGAGGAGTGAGACAGGGGGATGTCATATCCCCGAAACTGTTCACAGCCGCGCTGGAGGATATGTTTAAAACGCTGGACTGGAAAATTATGGGCATTAACATAAACGGCGAGTACATCTCACACTTGCGATTTGCAGATGACATAGTCCTAATGGTGAAGTCGCTGGAGGAACTACAGCAGATGCTGGACGGCCTAGCGTACGCCTCGCGACGTATTGGTCTCGACATGAACTTTGACAAGACCAAAGTCATGATCAATGATCATATTGACCCGAGACCCATTCTCGTAAATGGCACCTACTTGAAGTTGTTTCCGAATACACTTACCTCGGGCAGATTCTGCAGTTAGGTAGAAACAGTTTCGAGAAGAAAGGCAGGAGGAGGATTTAGCTTGGATGGGCAGCGTTTGGGAAGCTACATCGAGTCTTCTCGTCACCTGTACCACAAAATCTGAAAACAAAGGTTTTCAACCAGTGCGTCCTGCCTGTTATTATTTACGGAGCCGAGACATGGACACTCACGATATGGCTAGTCCACCAATTTAAAATCGCTCAGCGAGCTATGGAACGGGCTGCTCGGAGTTTCTCTGAAGGATAAAATTCGTAATGAGGTTATCCGACAGAGAACTAAGGTCACCAACATAGCTCGTGCAATAAGCAAACTGAAGTGGTAATGGGCTGGCCATATCTGTCGAAGAACCGATACTCTATGGGGAAAACGAGTTCTAGAGTGGAGACCGCGACTCGGCAAACGTAGTGTAGGACGCCCTCCAGCCAGGTGGAGTGACGACCTACAAAAGGTTGCTGGCGGGAAATGGATGCGACAAGTTGAGGACCGGGCGAAATGGCGCTCACTGGGGGAGCCCTATGTCCAGCACTGGACTGCAATTGGCTGACGTTGATGATTACACGGCCAGACAGACAAATGAATTTTTGAAGGTGAACAACGTTGACCTTATGAGCCGTCATGCGTACAGTCCCGACCTTGGGACTTTTATTTATTTCCAAAAATTAAGAACCAGTCAACGATTTTCATCACGTGAAGAAGCTTTCGAAGAGTATGAAAAATATGTTTCAGAGATTGTCACGAAGGAGTAGCATAAATGTTTTTAAAATTGGTTCAATCGTATGAAAAAAAAAAAGTGCATTAATGCTAACGGAGAATATTTTGAGAAACAAAAATTAATTTCTGACCATTTATAGTATTTTTTTCTTATTCATTTCGGAAACTTATAGTACGCCTCGCGTACACATAGATGAGGATACCCTAAACCACTGAATAATAAATACAGTAGAAGTGCTTAGCGTCCGCCATTTTCGCTTTGTACGTTTGGTCGTGTCAGTTATTTCGTAAAAAAAAACCTCGAAAATCGTGTAAAAATGCCTTATTCTGCTACTTCGGAGTGCAAAAATGATGCTCGCACCTGTAATATTATTCATGATGATGTTTCATGTCATCGTCAAGCCTTATTTCATACACTTTTAACAAATTTTAAATTTTCTGTTTATCGTAATTTTTTGTTACAAGAAGAGAAGAGAAGTTTTATACCGCTTCAATATAATCGCTTCTTTTTTGGAGAACTAAGTAAACATCTCGAATTCATCGTCGTTCAACTATTGATCGCTAGATGGCAGCACATTAATTGAATTGCAGCATGACATCAAAACGTCGTAACAATATAACAACAATAATAAATGAAACTATTTTTCCGGATTTAAATCGCGTATATTTGTTTTTTCAAAGAAACCGACGTTTCGGGCCCTTTACAGGTCCCATGGCAGTCAACCGTGACCATGTCGTCAACAAATATACGCGGTTTAAATCCGGAAAAATAGTTTCATTTCCTATGTGTAAGAATCGCGAAAACCTAAGAACTCGATACAACAATAATAAGTTTAAATTATAATAACAGACCAGAATTTGCCACATCTTTTTAAATTTAAACTACGACCAATCACTATCATGATTTCATAGGGTGTTTAACATATAATGTGTGTTTTGGCGACAGCGGTTTTGATAGTAATGTTTTTTTTTCTTCCGCGCCCTAAACCATCTCGTTAAAAGGAGCTCTAGCTAGCAGGATGTAAATGGACTTATGATGACTACAATCAATTTTTTTTATTCATGATATTTTACTGCCACGAATTTCATATATTTTATGCGAAAATACTCCTCTAGTTTGTTATTATTTTGTTTGCTAACTGTCTCCTTTCAGATTTGCAGTGAAAGAAAAGTATCCTCTGGACCGGGCGAAGACAAGTCACGAGCCGCCTGGCGCTGAAGCCCTCAAGGAAATCTTTGCCAATAGCAAGCCCGGGGACAATCTTAAGAAAATACTTAATCCTAAGTTGGGTAAGAGTTATCCCTTTTCTTTCTTATGATAAACGAAAGAGAGATCCGAGAGTAAATTGCGTAAGACGATAACGGGGTCCACAAAAGCGTATCCCATTTAAGCAGGTCATAATGAAAATGTTGACCTGTGCACTGACAATAATACTTTCTTATAATAGACATGGAAATTACCTACGAAGTAAATATTTCACAACAAACAAGTTATGGAGTTATATTTGTCACGTTTTTTATAAAGTTTCTCACTCTACATCTAATGTTATGACTGTGTCAGCTGTAAAAAAACACATTTAACGATGATGAATGTGAAAAAAAAAATTATAAAAAGCCACGGGGCAAACAGAAAGTTTGGGAACCTCTGATTTTGCGAAAGGAAGTGATATAGGTGATCCCGCTATTAATGTTAAGCCAATATACAAAATTTTTTGCAGGCCAATTACATGCACTTGGCACTTGTAAATTTGTGTCTCAGGGTGTCGAACACAGTAGCAGTGCCCCTCAGATCTATGTGATTTAAAGCTTTGAGTGGTACTGCAACTGTTGTGGACAGGCGTGTCGCTTACCATCAGGCGCACGACTTGTTCGTCCCGTCACTTAGATAGATAGATAGATATACACTTTATTGCTCACACACAAGAACAAGAATAGTACATAAACAACTTAAAACTAATGTGGGCATTGGCGGTCTTATCGCTAAGAGCGATCTCTTCCAGACAACCTTGGATTTAGAGGAAAGCTAATCGGAGCGGGGACGTAGTGTGCCAATTTTACAAATATAAAAAAGAAAAAAGAAAAAAAAAATTGTATAAAAAAAAATACAAAATAAAAATAAATAAATAAAGACACATAGTAATTTATAAAATATTTAAAAAATAATGATATATTATACGTACGTAGATATACGAGTATGTATTTATAAACCTAAATAAACTTATACTTATTAATAACTTATACTTACTAATACACACGTTGTATACTAGGACTGTGATAAAAGATATTTACGCAATCCGGTTTTGAAAATAGGTAGCGACTTAGATTTTAATTTTTTTTTAATTCAAAGAATGCCCTGGTGAATGAACGCTTTCTGCTGTTTGGAATTCATGTAACGGCGTACACCTATGACTTTTCATTTAAAAAGTATATGTATGTGAAACTTAATGACTTTTCTCCCGTCTCATAGTTAATTTTTGTCCACAGAATATGGTTCATCGGTAATCGACCACGTGCTCCTTGAAAACGGCCTGACAGGCAACATGAAAATCAGTGCGGACCCTCTTAAAGGCTTTCACGTCGATACACATATGGAGAAACTGATGGCAGCGTTGCAACTGGCTGAGAAGATGCTCGAAGATGCCAAGAAGCAGATTGCTAAGGTTAGTTCACTTGTTTCGCCATTGCCTAGTTTCTCAATTATTTTACCTAACGCTGTAATTTGTCTTTTTAATTTATTATTTCATTACGTAGAAATAATAAACATCGAAAGTAATATATAAAGTGTGGTTAAGTTGCTGCCTCAATGGCTGAATGGCTACCGTGCGGGTCTGCCACGCAGAGATCTCGGGTTCGATTCCCGGGCCGGAAGAAAATTAATTATTTGTATGCCCTACATTTATTTGTCTCATGAGTTTGAGCATGCACACCTAAATAATGCCTGTTCACTCTCGTCTTGATTCTTCTGATTCGTGGCTGTTTTTCTGTGTGTCCATGGCACCTGCGATACAGGATTTCCCTAGTACGGGGCACGAGTGTGTGCGTTATTATTATATTATTAAATATACATA